GGTGACGCAGCTGCTGTACAGAAGCCGCAGCAGAACTGGCAAACTAACCAGAGCCTCCCCCAGCTTCAGGGCCCGGCGCCCTCGCACAGGCTGTGACGCGGGGGCCGGGCTGCTCCCGCCCCGCCCCGCCCCCGCGCGGGGCTGTGGGACCCGGCGAGCAACTCCGGCCCTGCCGTGTCGGCGGTGAGATAGGGGACAGCCGCCTCCTCCCAGGACCAGCACGAGCATCAGATGAGTGAACGTTCGTTAAAGCACTTAGAATGAGAGGGCTCATTAAATTAAAAATAATTCAAAAATCAATGCCAGCCATAGTCAGAAGATGTAATTAAAAATGTACACACATTAATTAATCCTCAAGACAATCTCACAATAGTGCTACTGACCCCGTTTTATAGACGAGGACATTAAGGCGCACGTGGCAGTTAAATACGTCCAGGATTGCGGAGCTCAGAAAGAGGGGGGCCAGAGAGAGCGGGGAGCCGGGCTGCCGGTGCAGAGCTCACACTCTTCCCATCACAGATTTTGAGGCACGCTGACTGCTCCCCAGTTTTCCACCCTTTTGGGGAGCAGAGCGAAGGCAGGAACAGACAGCACAGTGCTTTTGCCAGGAGGAGAACAGCTGACCAAAGGAGGTTTAAACAAATGGAAGGGCGCAGCACGCTCCCGGGTGGAGAGCCCCAGCGTCCTGGGGCGTGCGCAGGGAGAGGGGAGTCCTGCACAAGTCCACAGTGTGTGCGCGTGTGCGTGTGCGTGTGTGTGGGGGCTGGGGAGACCTTACTGGGTGTTAAAACACATTTCAAAGCCTCTATAATCACACAATGTGGAGTTTGTGCATGAACAGCCAAACTAACAGAACAGGAGAAAGAGTTCCAAACCAGATCCAAGTGCATATGGGGATTCAAGACGACAAATTAGGAGGAGGAAGAATGTGGACTTTTTAATAAATGGCTTTGGGAAAATTACATAGCTATTTGCAAAATGATAAAAAAAAATGGATTCACACCTCACTCACGTATCAAAGAACAAATCCCGAACGGACGGCGATCTAAAGCGAACATGAAGCCCTAGGCGCGGCAGCAACACGTGGGGTGAGTTCCCTCACAGCCAGAGGGTGAGGAAAACCCTTCCAGCTGACACTCAAAACCCAGAAGCTTGCAAGAAAAGGTTGATAAATTAGACCTTCAGTTTTTTTGGCATGGCAAAGAATTATACGTCCTGCTGACGGAATGCAAAATGTACAGCCTGTAACAGACAGACCTAGTAACGTCTAGAAAACTTACGTACATCCATTGTTTGCTCCTGAAGTCCCATTCCTAGGAATCTATCCCAGAGACGCATCAGCAAAAACACACCACGATCATGCAAAAGGCTGGAAACTGCCTTTAGGCAGAACAATGCCCCTGCACGCAGCCCCCGCCCCCGCCCGAGACGTCCACGCCCCCCCCCCCCGCCCCCACCCGAGAAGTCCGCACCCTGATCTCTGGGGCCTGTGGGCAGGTTGCCCCCCACGACCAAACGGGCTTTGCACACGTGACTGAGCTTAAGAGCCTGGAAAGAGGAAATTATTCTGGGTGGGTGCAGTCTATTCGTGTGAGTCCTGAGACGTGGAAGAGGGAGGCGGAGGAGGGGGCCAGAGAGATGAGACGGAAGACGGAGGGGACAGTCAGAGCCTAGAAGGACCTGCCCGCCATCACTGGCTCTGAAGGTGGAGGAGGGGACGCGGCGGCCACTAGAAGCCAGGGATGGTGACAACCAGCTCGGTCCTCCGACCACAGGGAGCTGAGTGCTGTTAGAGCCCGCGTGAGTGAGGGGACGGCCCTCCGCTAGCAAGCGTCTCCGGACAGGAATGCAAACAGCTGGATTTGAGTCCACGGGACCCGGTGGAGCTCTGGTCCCCAGAGCTGGAGGCAGTACACTTGGGTTGTTTAAGCCACTGAGGTTCTGGGCATTTGCGGTGGTGGTGACAGAGGATGAATGCACACGCCAGGCGTCCACCAGCAGGGACACCATGTCCACACAAGGGAATATCTCATGCAAGGCGCACTGAACGTCATGACGTGTCCTCCCCCGAAGACAGCAGGGGGCCCCATGCGGCCTTCCGAGTTAGGAAGGGGGACACGAGGACAAATATTCACTTAGCCGCGGAAGGCAAAGGAGGATAAACCAAAACCTAATGTGGGGCTTCGGGGGGGAGAGGCGAGAGCAGAGGAAGAAAGAGGAACAGAGGCTTCTCTGAACACACCTATTGTTTTAAACAGTTTTGACTCTGAGATTATGCGAGTGAGTTATATGCACAGAAATGAATGACATTTAATACGTTTGAGCAATTTTTTAAAAAGAAAAATGATTTCTAAAGAAAGCAATCACTAAAACTGAAGTGAAAGAACAAAACACAAAAGCACTGGTATGAATGGACCCCGTTTCGCCTTAGGTTGGTGGTATAAACACACAGGGAAGAATTCAGACTCAGGATTTCGGCTGCTCATCCACAGGGCAGGACGGTCTAAGGGCAAACACTTAAAACGCATTCCGCAGGCTTGTTGTTTCGAGTATCACGGATGTTACAATTGTGAAACTATTTAGAGAATAATAGGATAAAGAAAATAAGGAATTTCGTTAATGTTTCTAGAAAGCACAATTTCAGTGTCAGCAAAAAGGTTTAAGCAAACTTAAATTTGAATTAGAAATATCAGTATGAGCTCATGATGTTTCCAGAAGTGTGCGTCTCCTCTCTCCGTCCCCGGGAGCGCCCAGAAACGACGACCAGTGAGCAGCACGAGCCTTCAGAAGGGGAGGGCGTGGGGCAGCCAGACCCGGGTGGGCGTGGTCCTGAGCCTCAGGCTGCTGCCGAGGTCTGGTTTCCAAGACAACCAGATGCCGGTGAAAGTGCAGAAGCCTCCCCACTCCACCTGGGCTCCTCCCACCCTAAGTGCCCAGACTGTGGTCTCCAAGTACCAGCTGACACTAAATGAAACCAGGTGGAAACGGCTTGATTTGAGCTGGAGCTTGGTGCACAACCAAGATGCTCCTTGGACAGCGCCCTGTAAGAGACAGCAAGGAACTCGCCCAAGATCAGTGTCCTGAAGTCAAAAGGCCTGGAATGCGAAGGGCTGCCCACTGGCCAGGATGGGTCAGTTTCAGGTTCGAAAAGAATAATGACTGTAGGTGACTGAAACACACTGAATACATAAAAAAACCCCTGCGCTTTCACACTGATACCCAGGACAAGAGATAGAAGGGCAAAAGAAGAAAGGAAAACCTGCTTGACGCTGGGAGCAACTGGGGCCGGCTCCTTGCTCTGCAGCCCCTGCCCCCACCTGCTCGCGGCGGCCGAACAGCCTGAGGGAGGAGCAGTGCTTCATCCCAGGGGTCCGGCCGCTCAGTGCGGACGGGCTGGTAGAGCATTGCTGTTTCCAGCACCTGAAGGCAGCACTCAGGCCAGGCCCAGACCACCGGCAGGGGGACCGGCAGCTACCAGGCTGACGGGGGAGGACCAGGCAGGGCCCAGGCTGCGGTTCGTGCCGGCGCCCGTGTCCCCACGACCGGGACACCCCGACCCCTGTGACACCGTGACGGGCTGCAGTATGGCGCCCCCGCCCCACGAGGAGTTATTCCGACAAGACGACAACGTGGAACTGATCTAACAGGGATTTAGAACGCTCCTCCTGTTTACGGGAAACGTGGGCCAGAGGGACACGTGCAGTGGCACCACGAGGGCGTGGAAGGACTTCTCTGACCGAGGGCGCTCCATGGGGCAGCTAAGTGGGCTCTGTCACCAAGGCTGTGGTGCGGGGAACACGGGGGCTCTAGACGAGGGTGGCTCACCCTCCAGTGACAGCAGGCAGCTGAGTGGTGGGCAGGGGCGGGCGGGCAGCCCTGGGGAGGTTACGAGGGACACAAGGCCACTTTCAGGGCGGATGGGTTTGCTCATTGTCTTGACCTCGGTGAGGATTTCACAGGCTCACGTATGTGCACACCCCGGCCCAAACTTACCAAACTGTACACACCGGAAATGCCAAGTGTGTCACCTGCCAATTATACCTCGATAAAGCTTTTTTAATGATTTAAGAGATGAGACAATCAAACGCATAGTGTGCACTCTGTGGATTCTGTTCTCATCGAAAATGCGGTAAAAAGACTTTTCGGAAACTTTGGGGAAATCTGAGTGTGGATGGTTACTAGATGACACTAAGGACTTTCTGTTAATTTTACCAGGTGTGACAACTGCGTGATAATTCTGAGGAAAAGCATCGACATTTTAACGTTAAGTTTTTACCACAGGAAGACAAGCCCGGATGTGCACACGGATGTAGCCCGAATCCAGACCAAGAAGCAGCATCCCCAACGCTCCCACCTCCCCGCCACTGTCCCCCCCGGGTCCCCGAGGGGCCTGCTGCTCTCACGCCAAAGATGACCCCCCCCCAGAACCTGACATCGTGGGAGCACACTGCCTCTGCTCACATGGTCAGTCTGCTACTTCTGCTCAGCAGAGAGGTTGCTCCCACTCAGCAGAACCTCGGTCGGCCGTTTACTGCCATACCCCGGGGGCCTCGAATGGGGCCTGGAAATCTGCATGCTCTGTGAACGCTGCATGTTCACCCACTCATATTCACTCACACGAAGGGGGAGCTGTGCCCAGCAACCGCCTGAGTCTGTTTGCTGGCCTGTGACACAGCAGCACGAGAGGAACGTGAGGCAGCGAGGCCACCACACCTCCGGGACCTATGCTGGACCACAGCTTGAATTTCCACCCCCTCCATCGCTTTAAATAAGACTCCGCTGAACATCCCGTGTTCCCGCCTCTTTCCGTGTCCTGCCCCAGTGCCCCAGCCGTCTCCAGTCTCTGGTTCTCCCCCTCCAAACGCAGCCACCTCCCAAACCACCCCGGGCAGCTCCAGCTGCCGATCGATCACCCGCAAAGGCGTCGATCACCTGTCAGACCCAGGTCCCGGGAGCGCTCCTGGGGAAACTCCACCTGCCGGCTCCAACGAGACGCTCACCTGTCCCTCCACGATCCACCTGGAGATGGCCGTCTTCCCGTCGTAGCCCGGGCGGAACTGGAGCGTGGCGGAGCGAGGGCTGATGTTGGAAATGACCAGGTTGGATGGGGCCCCGGGAAGCTCTGGAGATAAACGAGAGAGGCAAGGTGGAGACGGGACCTCCATCACCACTTAGGAGGTGCATTAAACGTGTCAGTGCATAAACGGTTCCCAAACGTCTTTATACCAAGACAGGATTGGCTTTCACAACCAGGAGAGCGAGGAGCAGAGCTTGCCAGGAACGTGTTCACAGCAAGACTGTCACTCTCACAGGGTCGCCAGTTAGACGCCTAGTCATTTGCGTGGCTTCAGGAGACGTACCATGTGGCCTCCAGGTGGTGGGCGGCCCTGAAGGTGGGGTCACGCCTCACTCATCTCCGCACACAGAGGGGAATCAGTGGACACTTGTTAAATGAGGACAGCAAGGATGGATGTCATCCTCCCAGGCTCCTCGAAGGAAACAAAGGACTGAGTGTCTGTCCCCCCTTTGGCAATGACCCAGATGCCTTCAGAAGAGGAGGGCGTGGGGCAGTGCGCCCCGTGCGCCTCTCCGGGCAGCCGGACCCGGTGGGCGTGCAGGTCCTGAGCCTCAGGCCGCTGAGGTCTGGTTTCCAAGTCAACTAGATGCAGGTGCAAGTGCAGAAGCCTCCCCACTCCGCCTGGGCTCCGTTGCCCGGGCAACTGACTGAGAGCAGGTGGGTTCTGAGCCGCTCCCGCCCCCGGGCTGCCTGGGGTGTGGGCCTCCTCGCTGAACCGCGGCCCTCAGGCGGCTGCTCCCCCAGGGGCCTGTTCTACCGGAAGTGAAACACTGAGTCCACAGTGAGAGCGTCTGTTGCTGGGCCAGGCAAACACTCCAGGGAAACGAAAGGGGATGAAAGGAGGGGAAGAAAGATGCCATGCAGGTGGCAGGGAAGGTTTCCAGACGGCGCTGTTTCTGGGGAAGGGTCCCCCAACCTGCCACTGCCTGACGTGTTTCAGACCAGCTCCTGCACAGGGACAGTAAAGCCGCTTTGGTGACCCATTCGTGCTGCTGCAGGCTGCGACACTCGGCTCTCACGGTCCTTTCCACATCGAGTTTAATGGATTCGAAGCAAAAAAAATATTTCATTCGAGGGACAGGTGACTCTTTTCTGTGTATCTCTCAGCTCTCTGGGTTCTTTAGACGGTTCTTCAGCCATTAATGGATGTAAACTTCAAGCACAGCAAACAGGACACAGTTCCCCAAAGTGACTGTCATCACGTGGTTTTGCTTCGGCCGGTACTTAGAATGCCCAGTGTGTCCTAGGACGGATGGCGGTACAGCTGATCTGACCTGTCCGTGCAGGACACTGTGGTTACGGGGTTCACCCAGTACGGCTGGGCCCACCTCCCTCCCCGCTGCCTCCGCGTCCAGGGTCGTGCTGGTCACAGTAACGCTGGAGGCAGAGGCCTTGCGGAGGTGAGGTCAGCCAGCCCACTGCCCTGCCCTGGTCGGACAGCATCCAAGCCACCCAGGGAAACACCTGGTCACACCCAGGGATGCGCCCCAGTGTCACCTCCAGCCACTGGGCATAAACTGAATGACAGGCCATCGTCATGATGACCCCATCACTAGTCACCAAAGCGCCAGCGTAGTTTACGCGTGTGCTTTGGAGCAGGTGTTTACGGGGAATAAATGAATCTGCCTGGAAGCCAAAGACTGACTTCTCCAAAAAAAGAGAGAAGACACTGATTTTGTAGACGCCTGTGCAAAAGCATCGGCCTGCCCCCGAGTGTGCTCGCACCGCACTTGCTCCACGGGCCTCGGCCCGCGCCCGTGGCTGGACACGCAGGAGTGGGCCCGGCGCTGTGCCTCCGCGGCGGGGTCACTAATCAGAACCAGCGCCACAGCCGGGCGAGGTGGTGGCTGCTCCTCAGAGGACGAGGGACTCGCTGCGGGGCCCCGAGGGCTCAAGCCCCCCGGGGCGGCAGGGCCAGGGGCTGCTCGCTTTGAGAAGGTGCCCTACGGGGTCACCCTGCTCGGAGGACAGGGCACAGCCCCTCCCTCTCTGCCGCCGCGTGTGACCTGCTGGGCGGCTGGGCCCGCGTGACACGCAGTCCCTGTGAGGAGAAGTGCCCGTGGTGAGCACGGGTGTTCCTGCGGGGACTGCTTTTAAACTGTGTACGTTTGGTGTGTTTGCTGTTCTCTTCGGAGCACGTGCCACCCTCCCAGGAGGACAGTTAGGGCGCACAGACTGAGGCGCTCCAGTGGGGACGGGCGGCCTCGGGCCCTCGGGGCCTGACAACGGGGCGGCCGAGCCTTCCTGGACACCCGACCACGGCGAGCGGGCCTCCTTCAAAGGGCAAGAGGTCGCTGGCTCTCACTGCAGAACAGAACTGAGAGCCCCACGACGTCTTCCCACGCCCCCATGTATTGGTGAATTCCTTGGGAAAACGCTTTCATTTTACACATAAGCTTTAAAATTGGACAAAGTTGAGGGCCATTCGCTGCTCCGGGATGAGTGTGAACGCCCAGGACACCGGACTCTCAGACGGGCCCCGAGAGCAGGGTCCCCTCCCCGCCCCCCTCGTCCCCTCGTGCCCTTCCCTGCCCACCGCCCCCTCCCTTCCCGCACACCCACACGCTCTGTTGAGTGAGTTCAGTCTTGTGCCTCCTGGTTTCCCTGTAATGTCCCTATTTCCTCCTTCTTTGAAGAGACGCCGTGTTTCCCTCTGTGTGGTCCTGATTCGTGTTTCCTGGAGCCAGGACCTCAGTCCCAGCTCACTGTCTTCCCCCCAGCGCCCCGCAGCCTGACAGGAGAGACATGAGCCAGATCAGAAGACCCCGGAGCCCTGGGGCTGACGGTGGGTCGCTGTCATTTACCCCCGACCATCCGAGCCGGAAGCCAACACCCTACTTAGAAAAAAAAATTTGTTAAAGAAATTTGGAGGGGGAGGTAAGCAGGTTTTCACTTGTTTGCTTGTTTGTTTAATGGAGGTACGGGGAGTTAACCCACCTCGTGCATGCTAAGCATGCGCTCTCCCACTGAGCTGCACCCTCCCCACCGACACCCCCCTTTTAAAGACCCCCAGAGATGTGTGCACAAAAATGCCCATTGCCTCCGAGAGCTGAAACAGCCGAGGGGGACTGACCTGGGGGCACGCCGGAGGAGATGGTGGACGAGGTGGCCAGGCCGGCCCCTGCCGCGGTGACAGCCGCCACGTCGATGGTGTAGGTCGTGAGGGAGGCCAGTCCCCGGATCGTGTACTCGTGCACCGTGCTGTTGAGAGCGCGCGTGTGCCGGGAATCGTTCCGCCCGTACACCTCCCAGGGAGAGCTGGTAGCCTAGAAGTGACAGCACAGGGTCATCGGGGCCTGAGGCTGGACGCCTCCTGGCACCTCGGAT